TAACGAATTGCAGAGCCGTGACCTCACCATCATGTTAAACCGAAGCGAAGTTCTTTTTCACTTGGAAAACCGCTCACCACGATCGCTTGGCGCTCGTCCGCATGGTGCGCTGACCGCAACATCGGACGGGATTCGACTGCGGAAGGCTTCGCTGTGGACCCCCGAGCATGGGGTAGAGCTGCACTTGTCGGACAAAAATCCATCGAGACTCGAAAAGTTATTGAATTGCGGCATCAAGTGGTGTTTAGGGGAGAGCAGAAATATTGTATCGGAACCATGAGGGAACTTGGGAGACTATTCAAGGCTATGCAACCAAGACTACGATGAATGGTTACGAATATCTCACGTTAGGCTCGACCGAAGCGTTATATGTTCGGAGCTACATGTGGTATTCTCAACGTACCAAAACATCCCGTTGAAGTCGATACGAGTCGACGATTACATCAAATGCACAAGATCCTGCTGAACACGCTTCGGATCCATGGGAGAAATTTTTAACAAAGGCAGCAAGATTTTGCAACGAGATTTTTTCTTGTTGTCAGAGGGTAGCGGTGATTTGCCTTGCCACCCTGACCTCCCCAACTTAACACACCGAAACTGGTAATGCTGACAACTGGTAGATATATCCCAAAGCAAACCCGCACTTTGTTCCCCCTTGTGCGCCTTGTTGGTCGAGAAAAAATAATAAAGAAAACTTTCCTTCCATTTTTTGCATCAACTACTAGCCTGCCAAGTATTCGATGAGTCACCTCCTCGTGAACTTGGAGAACTTCTGAGCGAACGTTGGAGTCAATTAGGCAGCGTCCCGAAGTCAACATTCGCACGGTCTCCTTGGCGGCATGCGATTGAGACTTGTTTTCTTCCGACTCGGGTAACTACCGTGAGAAAATCAGTACCACTTCTATCGCATTTCCCGAACTCGCAGCCTCGGTCGTTCTACGAGTCGGAGATTGATCCGCCGGAACGAGAGCATGACCAACACTGAGAGCGCTATTCATCTCTAGCTGATAGCTTCTCGATACATAGAGCTCCTGACTATGGTCGCATAACGATCCGGATTTCCTGAGCCTAATACGCAGGGATGGTGCTTAATCTCATACTTATAAATACATAGTGTCCCAGAGTTCGCTGCTGTATTTCTCTGGATCGAGCTCTTTGAGGCTTCGTCGGATATTGAATGAGGTTCCATTCGGTCGATGTAGTCCATTTTCTGACTCGGAACCCTCGATGAATACCTCTAGCTGTACTGCGACTCCTCAGATTGGAGGTTGATCTACTGATTGGTCCGGAATTCTCCCGAGCATCAGCGATCATAACGAGAGTTGGGAGTCGACGAGAGGTCCCCCGAAACCCTGATTATTTCGCAGACAGTTCGATCTATTGCCTCTCCATAGATTCCATGAATGTGTCCCGCATGATCTCGATTGAGGACCACCGTGGAGATTGTTACGCTGATGCTGGTCTTGTGTATAGTTCGCCGCTCAAGCATCTGATTGGGAACATCTCCCGTTTCCGCTGCGCAAAATCCTCCTGGCCATTTCCACTTCTCAAGGGTGGCCGGCGCGTGGAAGTCTCTTCCACGACGTTGTTTTTTTCTTTTCCCCTGGTGGGTAACAGACTTTGTTATTACCAGGCGCATTATATTATTCTTGTTGCTGTGGCCAGCGGCGTCCCTTATCGGCGTTTTCGCCACGGAGGCTTTCCTCGTTTCTCTTTTGTACAACGTTTCTCATATACCCGACTAACCCGACAGAACGTATACATATAAGCCACAACATCGCCAAGTTGTCTGGTCACAGAACGGCGACAGCTGGACCCCAGCAATTCTCGTCTTCACGCAGAACAAGACGGCCATCGAGAAGAGGCTGCGGAATTTAGTTCCGGGAAAATAGCCCCTCACTCCATGGATAGTTCACAGACAAGAACTCAGGGAAGCAGACTTCTGACCGCTTTGTTTGCTGATTATATGACCGACAGTTTCATGTCTCCAATCATCCTCGGTCATCACTCATCACCAAGTTCACGGCCTGATTGTACCGCTCGTGCAAAATTAGATGAATCCGTGGTAGTTTCCCTGATTTCAGGAGCAGATCCACGCTGATAATCTCATCCCGGAAGTCGAAAACCCGAATCTTGGCTCTTCCTGAGCGAACATCCTCATCTTACCGCTGAACACATCGGAATTGCAATATAGAAATTATTTCTGGGTTGGGCATCGACTTCGAACGCCGAACACCAAGACTGAGTCATATCTCATGGCGTGAATCGCTAAGCCCAGCCAAGCAGCCCCCAGAACACGGCAGAGAACAGTTTCGAGACAAGAGCTCCGTCATGTGCGCTTCTGGTGTAAATGTCTTATATGTTCAAGTATAAAAATTCCTTGAAGACCCTCTGAAATCGTAACCCATTGTTTTCCAGAATATAGGCGGCGATAAAAAGATGAAGGAGAAATGCTCACCGAGAAGCGTCGTCGGATCAATAGAGTTCCGATGCTTGGCGGCCGTATGAAGGTTCCGGTGTACGCATGGTGACCTGACCGACTGCCAAGAAACCAGAGGAGTGATTGATGTGAAACCGTCCGGCAGAGTGATTGTTAGTCGAAATAAGGAAATTGTTTTCCCAAAGTTTCCGGATGAGGGCCTGAAACGACTAGCGGTCATAGTGAATGATACTGTGAATTGTTCTCAACTTTACTGATTGCATGAAGCGAGCTACGGATCAACGTACTTCACCTTTCGACCTTGGAGGACCGATTTTCTGCCTCAAGATTCCATCTAATATGGGTTCTCATGAGTCACTGCCGTCCCCAAAAAAAGGAAGAACTTGTTCATCTTTCGTTTTCCGGCGTCCTTCATGTCTCTTCCCCATTATTCCTTCTCAAAGTCTGTCGAGTCTTTCGATTCCATTTATTCTTCCGGGCCAGTGTCGCCGTACTTGATCTTTCTGACCGCGAACTTATATTAATATTTTCCAACCGGAGTGGCTGTACAGAAATCGTCGCGCCTGATCTAGTGCCAATGCTTCCGCAGGATCCTGTCGAACTTGATTTATGACCACAAGGTAGGTACGCAGCGCCGCTTCGTAGAGGGATCTGATGCTAATGGTCGACGCCTGTCGTAAAGACAAACGGCAGTGACCGTTTTGATTTGAGTTGGCACACGGTCGCTCGTGAACAGGATTTTGTCGTGGCCCAGAGTGGACCCCCTGAGCCTCGACCCCGAAGACATTTTGGGGTTTATCTGGCAATCAATCGATTCAAGCATAGGCTGCTCATCCTTCACCCTTGACCCCCAAGGATGTCTGCTTCGCATGCTTTACCACGGTGGGTCTAATCACATTTGTCCAGAGAATTCTGGCGGACCGGTTCCTCATCACGGCCAACTGGGAGCACTGGACATTGGCGTCCTGTCAAAATATGGCCACCATCCGTTCAGACCTCCCGGGTCAATCTTTGAAGCGATGCATCCGACTAGCTCGATAACATTCAGGTGATTACTAGTCGGGGCAGGAGGCATTCCGCAATCTTCACCTTTGCGGAAATTGACAGAAAATGAGTAGACTTGATGTCTCCATCATCGGGATATCGAACTGCAATCGTGGCGAGCCGGTCTGCTATTGTTGGCACTTGATCCGCAGATCGCTCCGGAACCGTTATTCTTGTACGGGATTTTCGAATAGAATAGAATCGAAATCTATCAGTGGTCTCGCATGCTCACGTGCCCCTCGCCCCAATCCCAGATCAAAGCGAATTATATCACATGAATACCAGTGTTCCCCTCACTTTCCCTTCCCCACTCGTCGTCAGTGTCAAATCACGCCCCACCGCGCCTCACCTCTCAAAGGCTCCTATGGGGGCCTCACGCCGCAAGCGGGACATTCGCCCCAGTCTGGGGAGCATTGCCCATGCTTCCCATGTTGAACGAGCTGACGGAGCTGAACCGTGCCCCTCCCCCGCCTGGAACACATTGACCGCCCCTCGCGAAAAAAATCGGGAACCGCCACTGCCCTCAGCCGTCCCGGAATTCTCTCTCATAACCCGTCCTCTACCACGCTAGCGGGATCAAGCCGTCGCGACATCACTGAGCCCGTGTCGTAAGCGCATGTCTCCGTTTAAAGCGCCTCTGGTGTTGCTCGGTTTCCAGATCTCGGAGACCGACTCACTAATCTTTTCAGGGGACCCCTTTGAGCACTGGCGGACCGTGTCGGGAGAGCGCTCGGGCGGTGATCGGGTGCGTACACAAAGAGAAGGGGCGGAGGGGCGGCTGCAGGGGCTATAGCCCCTGCCTGGTATAGGAGCGAGTTGCCAAATTGGATTTTAGCCCTTCTACTTTTTTCGGGGGTTGTCGCGGGTGGTAAACCGGCAAGGAAGCTTCGGTCTCCAGCGAAGCATCCTAGCCCTGTTTTTCCGGGGTGTCATCGTCCCCGCGTCCGCTCATGGAAGCGATTTCTCTAAACAGCCAGCTGGGACATAGATGCTGAGCGGGTCAGAATCATCGATTGTCATGAGATTCAAGGGCGATTAGACGCTTCTCGACGGTCTACGTTCGATGAGCTTTTGAGGTAGCGGAGGAGGCATTCCGATGGCGACAAATTCTAGAATTTTTCTGGGATTGCGAATGACCCGATTGCGGATCATCTCCCACTGGAAGCCGTGGTGGTTTTCGGCTCTGAAGCGAAAGTCGGGTATATAAATCGCGCAATGGTCGAACAAAGCCCTTTCTAGCCCTACGAAGCACGTTCCGGGAAGAAAATTTGAAGTTTCGGCAAATCTTGTCCTCATGAACTGCTGCTTTCGTTAAGGACATTCGCTTGTGGAAATGTTTGATCGATGTTGCGGTACACGTCGACCACATTATTTGTTTACGTCCGAACTGAGCTAGGTTCAGCGAGGAGAAACTTTGACATGACTTCGAAATAATTTGATGAGCACTGCTTGCGAAGCCCATTCTTCGAATCGTAAGCTTGTCGACCTACTATCAAGAACACATACGTCCAACGACGAGTCGACTTTATTGAAGCAATTGCGAGAAAAATTGCTCTGGCAAAGATTGTTTTAAATAAAACGATACGACTTTGACTGCTCACGAAGCTTGGCGCCTTGGAGTAGAGTATCATTTTTAAAAAGGAGAAAATCGCGGAATGCCTCGATAATCGCAGAATTTGAGGCTCTCCGCTGATCATCCAGTTTCTCTGGTCATGGTCGACTTGGGCTTCATCAGCAGCCGCGGGGTGCATCCGTCCCGTCACACGAATCGGGCTGTGCGCACGAACTTTGAGCTCGCAACGTTCACGAGAAATATTTGGCATGTTCTTCGCAAAATGTTGAAACCCGGTCGCACGCGTCGAGTATCATTTCCCGTGGGACCGTGAGGACGATCCGGAAGTAATTCGGGTAGCTGAACGCCATACCGGGCATACAGAAGACCGACTCTTGTCTGAAGAGCTCTTTACAGAATGCAGTGTCGTCCGGGAACTCTTTGAAGCGTTCGAGATCCACGCCCACCTGTGAGTCCCGCTCCCGTTAGAAATCAATCGTGCATCCCTGAAGATGATTGCAAGCCTTCATGAGCACACTACATTTTTGTCTGGGCATAGGCATGAGAAACTCACCATCATGTACATAGCTCCCTGGGGCATAATGGGCTTGAGTCCTGGTATAGAGGAGAGAGCATTGAAAGCCAACACAGCGTTGTCCTGGAATGAAGGGGTGGTCAGATCTACGAATCACGAACGCATCTCGAATTGGTATCTCATAGTCCGCGATGTCGTCGTCCGGAAAAGTTTTCCTCTGACTTCAAAGTTGAACATTCTACGCCACGGCTTGTTCCCGAGGAAACCTTCCGAGGAGACATGAGCTACGCTCGTCCTCTAGCAAGGGGGCTTGAAGTGGAATTCAAGACGCCCTCCTTATCCTCCTCGTCGACCCTTCCTAAGAGAATATTAAGGAACGTCGTCGCCTCTACCCCGAGCGCATGGGTGAATAATCAAGGAGTTAGTCGCTTTCCTCTTCCTGAGCGTCCATTCTCTACCAGGGTTCTTACTTCAACTACTTTGACCGTCGCATCAAAGAAGGCTTGAGGGGTCTTTTCTAGAATACTTTCGATAGCACCGTGGATCAGGGCGTTTCCTGAAAAGATATATTTCAGCACCGAAAAGAGAAAATCATCCCCAAGTAATAATGCCTCAAAAATGTCAAGTCACGACTGGATGATTTCGGAATGGTATGGAATTTAAATGTCGGACGAGCATGTCCCCGACGAAGAGCTTACCTCCCATGATTTTTTGACTCAGGGCCACAAGTCCTTTCTTGATAGGTTTAAGAGCTCCATTTATGTCGTGAACAATAATCCAGCCAGTTCGCCAACCGGGGACCAAGAATCTTTTCGTCAACCCTGAGCAAGACACGATGGGGACCTCGTTGGTAAGAGACGCCAGGGGGTGGTAAGTTTGACCAGAGAATACCTTGAAAAATGGACGAGATTCTCGTACAAACGGGACGGGGAAAGGATTGTTCGGTGAAAGCGATTATGATTCCGATTCCTGGAAGCTTCAGTACAGCGATGAAGCCTGTCATGTAATCAGAGAAAAGCCCCTAATGAAAGTTAGAAACATGATTCCGTCAGTCGCATAGAGGAGTCCTGTGTCGATTTGGATGTGATCGAGTGAGCTCCCGAAAGAGTGAGTGAGCGACCGACCGAACGTCCGACTCGAGGGTTGTACGTCAAAGCATGAGAGTAGGATTACATACAGACAGGATCCATGGATCGAAAGAAAAGATCAGAATGCTTCCACGATACAACGTCGAATCATGCCATGCTCTCAGCTCGCTCTCATAGCGCATCTTCGCTCGATGATGAACCTGAAGCTTCGCGGAGTGACGACAGTCCTTATGAGAGCCTCGCAGGCCCACCTGATTAGTATCTATCTGCAGCGAATCAAGTCCACCTACGAAGTGCTCGTAGATCTCATCAGCAATGATCGGCAAGCGAAACTCTCTCGCGACCTCCAGGATGTCTCGGAGATGCTCCTTACTGAATACGCTGCCACATGGGTTTGAGGGGTTGTTTACAAGAATGGCGCGCGTTTTGTTGTCCACGGCAGACCTGGAAAGAGGCTCTACGATTCAGACGCTGATGTTCCGCCTACTTGGCTTGTGGCCGCTTGCCTATAACGCCTGCTGCTCCTCCCGTAACGGCCTGCGCCCGGAGTTTCCGAGGCAGACTTCAAAGTCGTAACCATCTCTCACCTCAGGCTGTGTAGGTCCACTTGCCATGACTTCGTCGGATCGAGATCGTAAAACTTTGTTTCGATGCCTACGGCCTCAGCGTGCGTTTTATAAACAGAGAATCCTGGTCTCGGGATCAATATATTCTCGCCAGGATCGCAGAAGCACAACACGCACATTTCCAGCGCGTGCGATGCTCCACATGATAGAATTACATCCTGAAAGAAATCACCCCCGCTCGTCATGGGGTAAATTAATTGTACTGGAAACTCTCGTCTCCAGAGATCACTCATCCGGAACGAGGTATTAAACGGGGAAACGATCGAAGCCGCAATTCCGACTCCAATCCATTGTGAAGACTCACGGCTGGATCGACTTCGAGTCCATTTATCGAACTATATCGAGCGACTGCCCGACGAGCGTCGCGCGTACCGACGCTCGGGATGTACCCATGGCATTTCATGCTCTTGAGACTTGTCTGTACAGCATCGATTATCTCTTTACAGGGCTCCAAATTTCCGAATATCGTCGGATCGCCTGAAAGTGAGCGTCGCGTCGTTCGTCATCCCTGGGAAAGTCACTTTGATTCTCCCCTCATTCTGAATACTCTGTCGTCAAAGGGACCCGAACACCTCACGGGCACCGCCAGCGTTATGTATAACCCACCGATGGACAATGAGATGACATTCTTCTCAGGGTTAGGTTGTAGGTCGGGATCCTCGACAAACGTTCGGATGGGGTTGAAAGTGTTTTTAGCAAAACTCGATGCATCGATATCGGTCCACTGTCGGCGATCGTAATTGTTCGGGACGTTCAATGTAGAATGACCGTTCACAAGCGCGCTGTCAATGGAGGATCATGGGATGAATGCTTCACAATGGCTACAGGAATAATTCGTCGAGATCGAAAAAATCTCTTATTGCTCAGAGTTTAGAAGGCCAGATTCCTAAGGGAGAATTACCCGTCGAAAAGGCAATCGTGGCTTTTTTTGCTCCGACTCGATCGTCCAGAAGCCATCGAATCCTGCCACATCACCGACGATCTGGGGAGAGCATACAGCGTATCCTTTCTGAGATTACAAGCATAATAATCAATGGTTTCAGAAGAGGATTCTTCGGGAAGCGCGTGAACCGAAACCCACCTCTGGCTGGGTCGGGAGGATAGATGACCTCGTGGATCCTTCAGCTCCGATAGGTCGCGGACGAAGAAAAGGATGCGAAGTTCGATCTAGTTTGCTGCTCGACTGAACATGAAGAGGGACCGAGTTTCACTTCAACCGTTCCATTGCCGTCGGAAAGCTCAAGCTCGAGAACACTCTAAGACATTGAAGCACCGATTTTGCGAAGTTCGCTCGACGTGCACAAATGGATGAATGATATACGATGCTCCAGAATCTTCCGGAGGATATCAAAATGTATTTCGTGGGCGCAGGGAAGAGTATAGAGTGCAGCGACTTTAATTCTCTCCGGTGTTCTCTATCGATCGAGAGGTAGGAACGCACTTGATAGAGGGCAGCTGGCACACATGGCCCGGGCAAAGCGCGCACGGGTCTCTCAAGCTTGGAGGACGCTTCGACAAGGATCATATTTCTATTATATAAAATGTACGTGGAGTAGATTGAAGGTCGTGCGCGTACGCTTCCTTGCGTCACTCTCAACCGAAGCTGCGTTTCCTCTCATTGGAAACTGACTCCAACCGGTGCGTCTCGTCCGGAGAGGATGAGGGGCGCACGATTACAAGTCCGTTCTCGAACAATTACGTCGACGGAGCCGCGCCGCTCCACAAGGTTCCTGCGAAGACTCCTTGGAATTGCCAAAAATTTTGAGGGTCAAGAGCTACCAGGGATCGCAGGATGGCTCCGACCTCAGCTCTACCGGAACAGACGATGAGGCCGCGGAAGGCCATCATATGGATCTCCTCCCACATTGTGATTAGCAACATCGTGTCGAATGTGTCGCATCCTCGCGATTCGAGACTCTTCTGTATATCATAAGATGGTCCTTAGGTTGCAGGATCCCGCGGAGATTTCGGAATTTCGTTCTTCTTGCCGCCGCAGACGATTCTGTTGTTCCTCCCGGCCGGTGAGTGACGACGTAATTCGACACCGTTGGTTGGTAAGATCCAGTGCTTGTCGAATTCCAGAAACACCCGCGCAGCTTCCTTTCACTCGCCTTAGAAAAGCACTGGACCCATCGATTCATAACATTTGAATGACGAGAGTTCTGTAAGTTCATCCATTCATAACCCTTCTGAGTTTCTGATTTCTCCCGAGTCCCCGAATGAGGATCCTGACAGACCATGAAGCACCAACTTCGAGCAGCGAGTATTCATGATCGCATCAAGTCCGTCCGCTGTTGACAGGGTAAGCCTTCGACGTCACAACTTTTTTTTTCTCATGAGTCGTCTGGCTCAGATAAGGAATCACTCGAGATTTGGGATCTACCCTCGCTGTGCCAAGTCCTGGAGGCAGATAGATTTCCGTAGCGTGACTAGATATTGAGGCGGCGACGAGAAGGAACCAGTCGCGCAGCATAATGAACAACGTCTCAATCATTGAGTGACGCAACGGAAGTCATGCTTCTCTGTGACGCGTTCATTCCGTCAAATGACATGGAGTTCATGAGGGAAGCGGTGACTCGTTCGAACTCCGCCCGCTCTGAATATCGCTAGTGACTAGTGACAAACGAACATCAGGAGTCGGGAGAATCAATTCCTTGTATCGCAACGCGGTCCATCACGCCATGGAAGGATTCGAGCTCGTAATTGGACTTTGAAGAGCTTCTATTCTCAGTCGGGCACCGGCATGCCGAATGCAGATAGCGACTGACTGAGTGAGCAAGCGAGCAAAAAACGGGTAATCAGCGACGTTCCGTTGCATTGATGCCACACAACTTCGTGATTAGGCTTTGGCTAAGGCTTAGAAGCTACGAGCCACCCCTGGTTAACGCCCGATTCGGTCTACTGACTCGAGAGCTGTCCTCACTCTACGCCTGGTTTGTAATGAAGAGCAGGAAGCTTTAATGTCTCGATGCTCTCTAACGAGAATAATCAATCTCTTCATCATTGCTCGTCTATGCTCCGTACCGCAACAGTGCCGAACATCGCGTGATAGACGACAGTCCTCAGTGATTCTCATTTCGCTGGACTTGAACGCGACCGCATACCTTCTTCGAGAGATATGTTTTCGCGGAACGGAGTCGTGATGGAGCTCTCTGCGGACGGTGCATTCGCGGCAGCGTAACCGCTTAAAAGTCGACGTGGGAAAAACACGCGAGAGCTTGCGACCAATGCTTCGTTTTTCACTGAGACGGTTGTATCTAATCAAGGTCGAATCATTGGAATCGAAAAGAGAAAAAAATAGCGGAATCCCAAGCTTCGGTTCCTCGAGGGTTTTCGGCTGCCGTTGGGTGAGCTACTTGATTTCGAACCGCTCCGGACATTCCCCGACTGCGATCATCGAATCATTCATCGCTCAATTCTCTAAGACCTGAGGAACCTGTCACTTCTGGTGTTTGTCTGGCGTCTGGCTTCCCTCTCACTCAGTCAGTCAACCTGCCGATTTCGGATCCATCCATCCATCAAATGAGATCATCGACCTACACCTTTAGCGCTCTGTCACAATTAATCAATCCATCCATTCATCCTCGTATCTGCTCAGCATAGTCAATCCCTCGCCTGCCTGACTCAGGCATCGATCAATCAACCAAGAGGGTTGTCGCCGAGGTTCATCCCACAATTACTCCAGGACAGAAACCGACGACGCGGGGAAAAATAGGTATTCACTGTGATGAAGGAATTCGGTGTGCCCACGCAGGAGCGCAACGAACACGACAGTAACGCCGACATTGAGGGGGGGGGGGGGAATTTGAAGTTCATTATGTCGTAAGTGCGCCGCCGAATAAACCAAAATCTCGCCAACCTTGGGTTTATGGCCGCAACAAGCGATGACCCCCGCCGTGCCGCCGTTGCTCGTGTTGTTGGTGCTAGTCGTGTGCGGATTCCGCCGTGGCTGCTGTTGTTGCGGTGGTTGTCGTCGTCGTCGAGGCACCTGCTGAAGTTGATGTTGGCTCCCCACACTTCACTTGACCCCTCAATCACGTACATTTCCATGTCTCGCCGGTGTTCTTAGCCCCTGCATTAATTCAGCTTTCAATCTCTGAATGCGATGATGATCAGGTTCGGCGCCGACGTCAGAAGTCTATCGCTCCATAGTGAATGATCGCCGACGTTAATAAACTACAAACGTCATTAGCGAACCAGCGAACCATTCCCGATTAATCTGCTCGCGGGCTTTTCTTATACCCAATCTGCACCATCATTGTAACACGTTCGGGATCAGAAATCAGTCAAGAACGTCTTTTCTGAATTGAGCTCCCAGATGCGATCGAGGAACACATCATTCGCGTCTATGGCAACGTGCTCACTCATGCTGTAACCTACTCTCTTTACCTAATGTATCATCCCGAGGACTGATTTTCGGGAACGGGAACGAGGCCCCCGTATCCCTACTCCAAGAGAGGGATGGAACGAGTTGTCGATCCCCTCTGAATTCGAAATCAAGTCTTCTTCTGAGAAGGAAAGTGGATCGAGGTCCCGAGATGAGCAGGCTTGGGAGGAATCGGAAATTCCCGAAAATAGAGCTGTTTCTTCACTCGGCTCAATAATTCACACGTGCCCATTTCCACAGGAAGGCTCTTCACACTGTCCACAGTCGGATCGAATTGTCAAAGGAAGTGTCGAAACTCAATCAGCAGCGTTCTGATGTTTTCCCTGTCTCACAGAAGCGGTCACAGGATCGGTTTCCAAGACTTCGGCGACACGCTACTGAATCATCTTGAGAAGTTTCTCGGTGCATTATGGGTTTCGTTATCGTCCGCCAAGGTTATGGTGTACGAGCGGCGGCTTACTGACAAAGATACTGTCTGACCGAAAGTGGCTGTGAGAGTGAGTCTCGTGTCGGTCGAAGATCACCATCGCTATTGCGTGGATTCGAGCGCTAATGCAAGGGAATTCTGCGAACCCCACCAACGACGACCTGACGCTTCGATGCTTCACTCTTCTCGTAGTACGAAAGTCAGGACGAGATTCGATTCGATGAATAGACCGTGCGACGCAGATCCGCTAAGCTGATTGAGCGTTTCCGAAAATGCGCGGGTGCACGTCTTGTACCCTCATATTTGGATGACAAGTCCGTGGATACGGAGCCGGAACAGATTTTTGCATCGAATTCTCACAACGGTTTGGCTGATCGAGTGCCGCGAAGGTCAGCTGATTCACCACCCACGAAAATATAACTCACAGATAGTACCTACGACAATCATCCCATACATCCGTCCGCGAAGAATATCATAGTCCGAGTAAAATGTTGTTTTCCGAACTACGAGAGATTATTCCGACCGGGATCAGAGTTGCGATGAGCTTGTCTGCTTCACCTTGACCGACTCTGCGTGCGTTTTGCGCTTCAGCGGAAGATCGTCCATCTACGGTATTAAGGGGAAGAACAAGAAGAATGATATGCGAGCTCAGACAAATGACGGGCTCTGGCCGATTGATTCGGAATTGCCTGTCGGATTTTTCCCCCTCGCCACCGACTCACGAGCATTGTTCTGTGGAACCCGGAGACGGCCACAGAAGCATCGAACAAGTTTTCTCTATATTTAGACTATCGATACTTTCTTAAATCATCATTCATGTCTACTGTATCGAATCGAATGATGCGTTTCGATCGCTCGAGTTCGAGAGCTCCGAACCAGTTGGCGCATGATTGCATTGATGATGCATCGCGAAAAAAGATTTTACATCGTTTTGCGTGAAAGATGCTACATGTTTTTTTTGGCAGAGATTTTGCAAATTTGAGGAAACCCGAGATGTTTGTAGCAAAAAAAGGCAGGCGTATGTCGGATCCCGTTGCTCTTGCACAGCGGGAACCGCGATCACTCGAGCGGTTGTCGCGGTTTCATCAGACGCTGAACAGCTTCCGCCGACGCTGCCGGTAGGTACGTGTCCCGGTGCCATTCACCGTGATAGAAGTTGTGTTACATTTTATTCTGACTGACTGGGTCCGAAGTGCACACGCTTTGAGATCGACGATCAGTATCCGATGCGACGCTCCTAATGAAATCACTACTCGTTCGATTCCGATGAACACCAATACCGGGGTCACGTGACCTCAGATTGCATTGAATGTTTTCTGCTCCTGTAAAGCTCCCCGTGAGGCTCGACAGTTCGGCAGATTGGCTCAATACTGTACTAAACATTATCGCCGTTCGAATGTGAGCCATGCGGGCTGAGTTTCCAGGCGCTAGCTACCTTTCCCGAAATTCACTCGTCCTAACAGACAAAAGCCAACAGAAGATTCGACGCGCTTGAAATTCTGC